AGAATGCTGCAAAAAATAAAATTAGGGGTTCAGGTTGTCCTCCTCTGATATAAATACTTGCATTATAGAAGCCTGCTTAATATTGCATGAACTCTGATAATCACTGAGGCTGCTACTGTATACCATTAAATATGAGTAAGCTCCATTCAACTCAGCGGGAATTATGTCTGACTGTCTGACTAGATTTTAGTTTGCAACTCTGGATTACTTTTTCCTCAAATTTCCTTAAGTAGCATCCCAGACAGATGATACTAATCTCTAGATGGAGTCATCCCTGATTCACTAGACCAATTAATGAAAACAATAGTTTTTCTAGGTGGCACTTTGTGAGCATAATGAATGCTTCTTTGCAGCCATGACTAGACTATGTTATATTTAAGTGCAGTTTACATTTATCAGAGATGATTAGTTTGGAGGGAATTCAGTTGTGCTAATGTCTGCTTTTCTATTGGTCTCTCCTAACTTTCCAGTAGATTTTACAGTATAGCAAAGTGTTTTTCAACCTTGGCCGCTTGGAATTGTGTGGATTTCAACTCCCAGAATGCTGACTGGGGAATTATGGGAGTTGAAGTCCACACATCTTAAATTCACTAAGGTTGAAAAACACTTTGCTATAGTGCAGTGGTAGCGAAGTGGCACTCAGAGCCCTCTCTGTGGGCATGCGTGCCGTCGCCCCAGTCCTAGGCCTTCAGCTGGGTTTTATAAAACCTTTTTGCTTTAGGCCTCTGCTGCCGTGTGCAAAAAAAAAAAGGTTAAATCAATCAATTTCAACTTCTCCCAGGAAAAAAACAGATCTTGCAAAGTTGGAATTGATTGATTGAACTTTTTAGTCCCACCCAGTCTGCCATTACTACCGCAGCGACGCCCACCCAATGGACCACGCCCACCCGGCACTTGAAGATTCATAAGTGGGTTTTGGGTTGCAGTTTGGGCACTCAGTCTCTAAAAGGTTTGCCATCACTGCTATAGTGGATGAGAGAGATAGAAATGAAAGGATTTTTGCTTTCATAATTTTTTTTAAAAAAGTGTTTTCTATCTCAAAAAGTCAATAATTATTGACTTTATTTCAATAATTCAGTAATTGAATTATTCTTTTCAGAACTATATAAAAGCTAAGACTTAAATCCAGCAATTGCCCTTTTTGACTTGGTTGAGATATTTAAAATGGAACAGGAAAGGAAATAAGTGGAAAAAAATTATTGTCCTTCATCCTTGTTCTTGTAATAGAAGTTTCTACTAGTTCAAAACCTCCCTTTGGAAAGTCACCACTGCATGCAAGTCTGGGGTTAGATTGCATTAAGCCATAATGTTTAAACCAAACAGTAGCGGGTAGGAGTCTTCGTACCACCTTGGACAAATGGTTGTCCAATTTTTTTCTTCAGACCTTCCAGCGATGAAGAAACCACAACTCCAGGAGGCAAGCTGTTCCATTGCTTAATGATTCTTACTGTTCTTACTGTCAGTAAATTCCTTTATTTCCAAGTATAATTGCAGATAATCTTGAATTATGACCATAAATGAGCCCCAAATTTTCTTTGCTAAGAAAACAGTTAAGTGAAATTTGCCCCATTTTACACCCTTTTTGCCACAGTTATTAAGCTAATCAGTGCAATTGTTAAATGAATCATGCGGTTGTTAAAACAAATCTGGCTTCCCCCATTTACTTGCTTGCTGGAAGTTGCCCAGGAAGATTACAAATTGTGATCATATCACACTGGGACAGTGAAACTGTCATAAATACATGCCGGTTCTAAGTGCCTGAATTTTGATCATGTGACATTAAGGGTGCTGCACTAGTGTGAAAACTGGTCATAAGTCACTTTTTTTAGTGCCGTTGTAACTTCGAACAGTCGCTAAATGAATGGTTGTAAGTTGAGGACTACCTGTATTGTATTTTATATAATTATAAACCTACATGGCTCATATATTGTATGCATATATAATTTATAATTATAAACCTGTAATTATTGTATTGTAGAACCATGATGTAGGGCATAATTAAAACTTTTGTGTGAATCTTGTTAATTCTGGCTTGGTCTATAAATCATTAAGCAAGCTGTGGCTTACTGCAGTGAATGAAACCAATCTAGGTTGCTCTGGAAAATTTTAACTCCACTTTGAAGGCTCATTTAACCTGGGACTCTGTTAAGCAATATGTTTGACAATAGACAACTTTCTTTATTTCTAAAACGGGTTCCTAAACTTTTTTGCCATCATATCTCCCTTTAGTGCAAATTTAAATTTCACAACTCAAAAAATCCAAACACCAAAATGAACATAAATGAACAATTCAAAATACAGTGAAACTTTATTTTTAATTAAGACATAAAAAATAAAAAAAAACCTTCACACTCTCTTGGACTCTTGTCGCCAAATGAGTATTCCTCACACTTTCTGTTATAAAACATCAGACTGAAAATTGCTAAAGAATATCTTTAATTATTTTTAGCAAATTATTTGTTGTTATTATGAGGTATTCCTATTTTTATTCCAAATTTCTTGTAAATAACTAATGCTCATTTTAACAGTACACTTCAATTGTACATAAAAATCCTTCAGATTTAGAACTATCCAGATTTGGAACTCTGTTGATCATAATTCAAGAGTTCTGGATCTTGCTAACTTACCTGAATTAAATTATGATGTTAGATGTCTTAATTGAATGCTACTGCTATTCTATATGTTGAGATAATCCAGATTCCTCTTGCAGATTGTTTAAAAAGTGTTAATAGCCCTGCTAACAATTGAAAAAAAATTACCTGACATGTTCAGACTAGGATTATCCCAAAGTGTAAATCAGAACCCCAGAATATTAGTAATATTCCAAATGTGTGTTCAATTTTTAGTGTTGGAAACTGTAGGATTTTGACTGACAAAGGAGCCCAAGCCCCTGGCAGGATTTCAGAGGATTGAATAATAACTTACTGGTAATGTCCACAAGAAGCAATTGCTTGAATATGAATTAATGTTTGCATTTTATAGTACCAAAAAGAGCTTCATATCTGTGAAGCTTATTTTGATTTAGAAATTTGCTGTGAATTTAAAAGTATTTTTAATATAAAAGATTGAGTTCATGTAGTATAAACGTGTGAAATAAACACAAATGAAAATTGCAAGTATACACTGGCAATAATTTGAAATGATGTTTGTTTTAAAGAATGTGTTGGGCTGCTTTGTGTCCTATATGAAGTTCCTTAACCTTGGAAAGCATTCATAAGGCAATAAACACAATTTAATGCAAAACTAAGTATTTTTAAAATGTTATCTAGATTTTAAACTTTTATTTCATTTTTTAACAGAAAATGATGCATCCTGTTGCCAGTAGCAACTCCCCTTTCTGTGGGACTGGAAAAACATCTTGCCTTAATGATGACAATGGGACACCCACCGATCAGTTTGATTTATATTCCACACAGCAAACCAAGTATAGCCACACAGTCGGGCACAAGCCAATACCATGCCAGAGACAAGATGCATTAAATGAACCACATTTGCAGACCACAAGTAGCAGAAATTTAGAGACAAAAGATGAACTTAAAAAAAAGAAAAATCTCAACAGATCTGGAAAACGTGGAAGGCCTTCGGGGACAACAAAATCAGCGGGGTACAGAACGAGCACAGGTAGACCACTTGGGACCACCAAAGCAGCTGGATTTAAGACAAGTCCAGGTAGACCCTTGGGTACAACTAAAGCTGCAGGTTACAAAGTCAGCCCGGGGAGACCTCCTGGTAGTATTAAAGCTCTATCACGGCTTCCAAATCTAAGTTATACTTGTAGCAGTGCGGCTTTTCCTTACTCTGTGGTGCATAACAGAGGAGTACATGCTACTGGTGAAACAAGTAGCAAAATCAAACAACCCACTGAATAAACATGTATAGGTTGATAATATTTCTTCAGTAATCATTTTTAAATTATCTGAGTTGTGGCATGTTTTTTCACTTCTTTTGTAACTTTTTCACAACTTCCTTTCCGTTTTTAAAAAAAAATATGGCATATCATAAACATACAATGTTTCTTTGTACAAGTGGAATTCTCAGTGATGCGCTTATGTATTTTCAAAAAGTAATTGCAAATATTCTGAGTGACAGAAAATATTGTCTAGTCATTTTAGTTAAGGAGCGATTAATTCAAATAGCATATTTCCAGCTCCTTGATTTTTGAAGATCCGAAAAGATTAAAACAAATCAGAATAGACGAATAGAAACCAATAATTCAGGACTGTCTTATAAGTAATAGTAGTTCTATAAATTTTGCAATGTATATGATTATTTTTTTCTTTCTTCTTTAAATAGAAATGAGTAGAAATGAATTTTTTCCACAATTGCTGGAATTTAACACGGACCTCAGAACTTGTAGATATGTCAAAACTTCGAAGCTATATTTTTAGGAAGTTATCATTCCAGGCAGCCATTCATTGAAGTGCTATCAGTTACAAGTAATTCAAATACTTTGTTGAAGACATAGTTTGTATGCAGCACCTGATCTATAATCTAAGTGCTGCTTTTCCATTACAGTATGGTATCTCTCTCTCTTGGAAGTGCAAACTCTTGCACACTTGAGTTACGGTTTATAAGGCCTAAGACTACACACACCAAATTATAAATAATAAAATATCAGAATTTTTTTATAAATAAGTTCTTAAAAGTGCTATCAAATATGCAGTTAATAAACATAATGAAGGTTATCTCTGAGATTTTGTTCTCTTATTAGTCTAATTAATTTGAGTGATATATAGCATAAGCAAAGTTGTAGAATTGCCCTGTATTTTTCAAAATCTGTCAAGAAACAAGTTCAAAATGACTTTATAATATCTGCATAGCTGGCAGCATTTTTTTTTTTTAAAAATAAAATTAAAATATTTGGTATAATTGAAAACTATACTTTTCAGATACTTGAACTTCCCATTTTTAAAATAATTTTGTCAGTACAAAACATCTGGAGCTAAGTGAGCATATATTTACCAAAGGAAGACATTTCATGGTTCATAATTGGAAATGGTACAGATGATGCATAAGCAAGTTGTGATTTGATGTGTTTATAGATACCCAGATATCTAACAGAATTTAGGAATATATCTATGCATGGAGGTGCAGAATGATAAATACAATTTCTGATTTTTGTGCACCTAAAATAAATGTTCTGCATTGAGCTGGGTATGTGTTATTATTTTTAAGATTGTATATGAGTGTGTACGTATGTATGTATGTATGAGACAAAAAGGGGGAAAAGAGAGAAAAAGAAAGGCTATATCTACAGTATTACACAAATTGCATTGTAATTGACCAGAAAACACTCAATATTAAATAAATTTCTAAATTTCTTTTGAACTAAAGCTATTCGAAAACTAAGTTTACATTTAGTTCATTCTTAAATGTTTATCTTCAGATTCACTTGAGAGAGGTTGTAAATATTTGCAACTTTCATTTGGGATAGATCTCTTTCACATTAAGTACAACAGTGTTGATTTTTTTCTTGTAAGATCAATATTGTAGCCTGCTGACGTTCTGACGACAGCTCTGATTTCAGTAATGACAACTTAAGAAATGGATGTCATTTCATGTCTGTTTTATCAGGAAAAAAGCAGCAAGCCTTCAGGTATTCCAGTGATGCCTAACTCATAATGAGCTGAACTTTATCCTCTATTTTATAACAGAATGTTGAATTGCTTTGAGGGGACTTTGTATGCACTGGCAACCATGAACCTCAACAGTACTGGAAGGCTTTTTAGTCATGTAAACTAAGGCAGCTAAACTGCTACTAAATTGTTTTGTCTTATTTTGCTAAAGCTATGAAGCTTATGTTTCCTTGAGAAACTTTGGAATTATCAGTTTTTTACTTTTTTTCACAGAGGTGCGACACACAGTGCTAATATGAGCTAATTCTCCCTCAGGACATATATTGTACTGTCTGTTTTGTTACACTCCCCACCCCTCCCCCAAAGCTGCTTGGAGAGCAGCTGAATGTAAAATCTAAAAAAAAAAAATGGTATACTCTTACGGCAAGATACTAATTTATCTTATGCCAGAAGTGTATTTTTAATCAACTAGATTTCTTACCTCCTGTTTTTCTCATGCTACCTTTTTTAAACTCCTCACAAATGAGTCTGTTTGATGAACCAGTGTATTGGGAGGTAAGGCAGATGCATTATTGTTCTAATGTGATGAATTATGTATTCTGAGAAAATATATGCTAAGAAAACAAGCAATTTATGTTTATCTATAAAGCTTATTAATTATATCTGATGGAAAACACATCCATTAAAAAGACTAGTTAAAATAGGCAGAAAGGAGAGCACTGTTGGACATTCTTGATTCCAATTGATTTTACCTTCCACTGCAGTTCATAGGGGCCATGCTATGGTGAAAACAAGTCAGCGATTTGAGATGTTTGAATGATAAATTCAAATATTTTTGCTACCGCTGTATATAGTCTTCTGAATACATTGTGCTTTTTTGGTACATTATCTCTTGTCATGATAAACACTGCAACAGCATGTTAATTCCTATGCTTTGTTATTACTGGGAAGAAAGAGTATCCTTTCTTTCGATAGTATTGATACATGATTTGTAAAGCAAATGATAATTTTATATTCTATAAATTAATTGTACTCTACATAAGCTAGGATTGTTAATGTGTATTCACACTGCTCAAAACATCTACATATTGTGCTTTATCTTTCTTTTGGTTAAATATAGATATTTGTTGTATCTTTTGATAAATAAGCATTAATAGGGACCTATACTACTTAAAAGACAGAAAAAAATGCTGTTTACTTTCTAACTAACTTTACATAAACTATAGAACCAAATAATTTTACTACTATTTTTTAAGTCTTGCACTGGATATGTTCAAAATTATCGTATAAGTAGTACTTTCTAAATACCGCTTTGTCTACTACACCAAGACTCACTTTTGTTTCATAACTTTTTAAGGTTACTTATTACTGATCGGGATCTTTGTTCAACAATGGGCCATTTTTAGGAAATTACACATTTATTTTGGTCTCACAAGAAATCCAGGAAAGTAATATATATGGGATGGGAAATTCCATGACCAACAAGGCAAGAGGGATTGCTGTCAGGGCATTAAAAAGAATTTGAAAGGCAAAAACTTTCAGAATGAGAACTCTACACTTATTCCCTAAGTTGCCATTCTACTTTATATCACTGTATATACAATGCAGCAGCATGTAGTTCACTAACTACAGTTGCTTGCAATCAAAGCTTCTAGACTTGCTTATACTCAAATGCTTTTTATTATACATATAATAAATATAGTTCATTATTATAATGAAAATATTAGAACAAGCCCTTCCTTTTGGTCTCCGCTCCCAAACAGATAAATTTAAGTTCTGCAATGTGTAACCAATTTCATCTTGAAAATTATGATAGCATAACATTTTTTTAAAAAATATATATTTAAATACTGTAGGCTATTTTAAGATTTTCACTTTCACGATTTGCTTTTCCATGGGCAGGTTATTTTATTAGAAAAAAACCATTAATACCATCATCCTGTCTTCTGGTGTAAAAAGTCTGATTAGGTAACTGTGTTTGTTCTTACATCCATCAACCTCGGCTACTCATGTGCAATTGTCTGTATGGGAATGGAGTAGTATTCATGAACTGTACTTATGTCATCATTTGGATGTATATTTATTAATAAAGTAATTACTTTAAACACAAAATGTTTCATTCTTGCCATATATTGCATCTGTCTTTCATAAATTTCATAAATGTCTTAATTTTATAAAATAATGCAATAAATTTACTAGCCTACTTAAGAGAATGAAGAACTGTTAATCTCCTGATGTTTTCATTGTTTTATGCATAAAAATATTGAATTAAATTCTTTTAAGTTTTTCTTTTGTTCTGCTCCTCATAACTTCTTATAATGTCTGATTGAAGGACAGTGTCCACAAGTGTTACTGGCTATTGATTTTGGTGACAATCTAATTAATGTTATTTGTATGTACATGTGTGAGACTAGGTCTGGGTGACAACAAAAGTGTGAATGCGTGACTTGTATTTTGGATGTTTAAAATGACTATTTTAAATCTGGAAATCAATTGAATGGTGAGGGGCTGAATACCATGGTAAACATGTGACCAAAAATTTAACAGTTGATTATTTAAAAGTAATGGACCAATATTTAATTTAATATTAATCTTTCATTTTAAATATTTCACTTTTTAAAATATTAAATATTAAAATAGGCTGTCAATTGTCAGTTCCATGGCTAATATGAACCTTTTGTTTAAAAAAAAGTGCACTGTTCCTTTACTAAAACCCTTTCAGAAATATTGTAATGTCAAAAAACAGAAATTTTAGTGGCATTTCTTTTTAGATTCTTCATTAGAATAAAAGGGATAATTTTTAATTTAATTTTAATGTGTCTTTATGTCTTACAGCAGTAGATTGGCCCTGTAACTTTTAGAGTTGCATTACATCCTATGGAGAAAAGAGACTTTGTTTTTTGCTCAAATACATTATTTGCATGCAGAACATCCTGGATTTTATCTCTGGCAGTTCCATTTAAAACTGGATAACTCCTATCTCAAATGCCAGAGAGCTGCTGCTCAGTAAGTGCCCTAAAATAGATACACCATTGTTTGATTCGTTACACAATCCTATGAAAAAGCCTCTTGCATTTAAAATCTGAAATTACTTCAACCGATAGTGGTGTTTGTTGTGAAATTTTATGTAAGATTTTTTTATTTTGATTAATATGTGTAAGCTCTTCTACTAGAGTAGATATAGAATTAAAATAGTACAGACATATTAAGCTGTGTGTGTGTGTATATATATATATATTATCTCTAATTATACTAAAAATGCGAATCCCGGGTTATATTCATGTTGAGAAAAATAGTCAAACACCAGGATAAATATCAAAACAACTGTTTAATAAACTAACAACTGTTTGATAAATTTAGCTTTCGTTGGCTAACTGCCGACGTCGTCAGAGTGGAATGCCGGAGGCTCGAAAGCCTGCTTATAAGACCGGCAGTTTGTGCGCTCTGCTCATAGAACTCGTTACTGGTCTACCTGCCCCAGTTGACCGTATTGCTTCTAATAGTCTCGCATCCGTCTGTATACTCGTAAGCTCGGGGATCATTGCCTCTCTTGTCGCTCTCTTTGCCCGCTTTGGACGTATCTGGGTACACGTTGCTATAGGATGGTCCCCCAGTGCCTCCTATCCTTTGGCCAACCCCCCCTGTTGTGAGTGTGGCACCTCGCCTCCCATCATTGACTCCTGTACGAATCGTGCTGAGGATTTCTCCCCTTTGCCGGTCATGGTTCTTTGCTGTTGCATGAGACAGCAGTTCTGGTCTTGCGTATGGCAACGCTCGGGTCCATATGGCCAGCAACAATCACACGCTTGACCTTGCCGGGGCGGAGGCCATGGCCCAGGATGTCACCAAGGGCGGCCGGTTACTGAAGGAGGCTTGGCTGTCGGATGAGCACTCAATTAATTGCCACATAGAGTTACTGCCTGCTTATCGGGCACTAAGGAAGTGGGAACAACAGCATAACAACTCAGTGCAACGGGCGCAGCCTACGCAAGATCAGAACCACTGTCTCATGCAACAGCAAAGAACCACGACCGGGAAAGGGGAGAAATCCCCAGCACGATTCGTATAGGAGCCAATGATGGGAGGCGGGGTGCCACACTCACAACGGGGTGGCCACAGGACAGGAGGCACTGGGGGACCATCCTATAGCAACATGTACCCAGATACGTCCAAAGCGGGCAAAGAGCAACAAGAGAGGCGATGATTCCCGAGCTTATGAGTATACAGATGGATGCGAGACTATTAGAAGTAATATGGTCAACTCGGGTGGGTAGACCGGTAATGCGTTCTATGAGCAGAGCGCACAAACTGCCGATCTTATAAGCAGGCTTTCGAACCTCCGGCATTCCACACGACGAAAGCTAAGTTTATCAAACAGTTGTTAGTTTATTAAACAGTTGTTTTTATATTTATCCCGGTGTTCGACTATTTCTCTCTATATATATACACACACACACACACACACTTACACACTTAAGGTTGACTAGACCTGAAAATTGGAATCCAGAAAATAAATTAATCTTTTCAAGCTTTTTTTATAAGAGAAACCTCTTCTTTATTGTTACTTTGTCTCACAAAGTACTGTGTGTGTCATTTAGTGCTGGAGGCTGACATGGAATATTTCAGGTGTTTCATTAGTTGAATATAGCTCCTAATGTTTATTCGCCCTAGGGACATTTGCAGGGGGTGAAAATAAGCAATCCCTGATATAAATTGAAGCCTATTTGCCACTCTTCGCGCTTAAGAGGCTTATCAGGATCAACAAAAATTGGCGTTCTATTGGGGCTAGTGCTGCACACAAGGTGCTCTTGTGCGGAACGTCACTTAATTCCTTTCCCCCCCTCAAAAACAAAGATATTGTATCTTTCTCTTCCATGCTAAGCAGCTTTTGAATTTTTGCTTTAATTTACAACTGGGACCTCCCCCCGGCAGCAACCTTGTATGATGCACAGTTTGCAGACCAAGTTGCAACAGCCCTGCATTCCATAATCTTAAGGCTACACATTTTCTTTCCTCTTCCTTTCCCACTTTTTAATGATTGGTATGGAAGCTTCTGGCATAGCACTTCACTAAAATGTTTATAGATGGGAACAATACAGAAATTTCAAGGTAAGCCAGTGACTCAATGCTAATTTTCAAGATATGTCAGCAATAAACATTATACATGCTCACATACTAAGACTTAAAACATGCTGTTATATTAGCAGGAGTGTATGTTTGTGGAAGGTAAGAATCCTGAGATAGATGATTTTGACAACCCTGAAGAAATAATATTTTTAGATTGATTTTAAATATTTTTAATGAAGCAATGCTACTTACAAATGTCATATTATTTCAATAACTGTACAGTTAGAACTGCAGCTATAGAAATGATTGGAAAATTTAAACTCTAAAGCTGATACCAAAATAACACTAAATCAATAAACATTTTTGTTCTCAGTGTGCACAAATATTTATGCTGTCACAACTTGGTATAAGAATTATGATCCGTTCCCAGTCCATAACAGAAATACCTAATCCAAAATAGGTAATGCCCAACAGCGTTAACTAAGAAATGTATTTTCCTTTGCACATGTTAAGACACTGGCTTTGAAAGAAACACAGCAAGCTTAGCTCTGGTACATACAAAGGAAGAGTTGTCCACGGGAAGCACCATAACAGAGTGTTCAGCTGGTGGTGAAAACGTCTTTGCCGCATTCCGAATGAATGGCAATGTGTTCTTTTGGTTTCTAGACAGGACCTCTGCTCGGTGAAGAATACTGTATAACTTATTCATGGGACAGACTCCAGATCTGCCACCTATTTTATACTGTTCATGACAACTATTATTCTGATGACCAAAGAGTCCTGTGAGGCTTTGGTAGGTAATTACTTGAGTGCTTTATTAATAGCAATAGTTGCTTATTTAATGAGTCAAGTATTACTTTTAACTTCTTTAAGTTTGTCTAATGTTTGTTTGTTCAGTCATTTATTCAAATTCTAATGCTACACACTCACCGGGTGTTTCAGGATGGTTTATAGAGCATGAACATAACAGCAGTAGTGAAATTAATATAAATATCACAATAATAGAAGCAACCATGCAAGGGGAAAAAGACAGACTCAAAATACACAACGTGAATGAGTTCATGCTTTATCCCAGCCAAATGTCTATGAGAAAAGTCAGGATTTTAAGACCTTGAAGGACAGCAGGGCTGGGGCGATATGGAATGGGGAAGGTGCTGTTCTAAAGGACAGGTTAATAACACAGAAGGTGTATCTTTTAGGTCCCATAGGATTTATGTATTTATTGGATTTTTAAAGCTGCATGAATCCAAAAAGACCCTGAGCAACTTACAATACTTCAAATACATCATTTTAAAATGCAGTTACAAACAAACATAATATTATTGTTGCTGTAAAACAGCAACAATAATATATGTAAAAAAACTACTCAGAACTCCACAAACACCTTAATACCAGGCCTGGAAACCAAGCAAGGTCTAAGGGACCTATGCGCTTATCTGGGGAGATGCTCTTCCCAGAGGGCAGGAGCCATGATGGAGAAGAAGTTGAAATGACCTGGAATACAAGTTGAATCTACACAAGATGAATCTACGGTTATGGTATTACTTGCTTCTCAAGCCAGACCTATGAATCCAGAAGGACCCCCAAATTGAGTAAAGGTAGTCCTCAATTATGGCAATTGGGACCGAAATTTCCATTGCTAAGCTATGGCAATCAGCAGTCCCCATTGCCATCATTAAATGAAAAGTGCAGATTGTTAAATGAGAACCTCACATGACCATGACTTGGGACTCCCTGCCAATTTTCCACAAAATTAGTGGGGAAGATGGTTGACAGTTACAAATCTCAGGTAGTTTACAAGCAGGTCCCAGAGCAGGTGAGTACTAAATAGGCAAGGAGGTGATGTGGTGCACATGAGTGCACATGAGCTGGGGAGAGGCTGCTGTGGTGGCATGTGAATGCATGTGTAGGCAGGGGATGGCTGTAGTGTTGCAGTGTGAGCATCCTATAGCATACAAGATCCCTTATCCCATATCATAATCTGTCGGGAACTCCTCAGGAGTGGCTAGAGTGACTTGTATCCTTCTCTGCCAGCTCTCCCATTGATTTTGCATATGGAAGCCAGCAGGGAAGGTCACAAATAGCAAGTACGTGTCTGTGGGACACAGCAATCATCATTAAGTGTAAGTTGGTTGTCAAACACCTGTATTGTGATGCTGTGGCCATGGTTGTGTGTGTGTGTTATGATGCCTGGAGCTTTGAAGACTGATCGTAAGTAACATGTTGCAACTTCAAATATTCCCGGAATGAGTGGTTGCTAACTGAAGTCTACCTGCACCTAGTCCCATCTGGGAAAGTGCAATTCCATCCAGAACTAAAGTTGGAAAATCCCTGGAAACAGACAGTTCATGCCATGAACAACAAGCTATTCAATCTTATTATTTTGACAGCATCACTTAATTGGCTAGGAATTGAGATCTACAACTGGTGTCATTGGCATATTGATGATACCTGACTGCATACATCCACTCCTGTGCTTGGCAGCTGGACCACAGACTTACAGAAGCTAACTGGCAACAAATATGAACAGATCCGTTACATGAATCCCTTGAGGTGCGCCCATCATTACCTAAGCAATTGTATTCTGGACCAACTGTAGTTTCTGAATGCTTTTTAAGAGTAGCCCAATGTAGTTCAATAAAGATGTGACTAAGCAAGGCCTAACTTGAAGTGAGTAATAATTATCATTGCAGGAAAGTTTGTTATTGGTATACAAGATGTTTTGGTCACAGGTGTCACCTGCTCCTCAACCTGGAGTTAAGGAGAATCCCAAATTGCAAACTACTGAGGAGAATGAACAATGGAATCTCCAGGACAGCATCATGTACTTAGTCACAAGTTAAGATATACAACTGGATATCGTCAATATGGGCATGTTAATTAACGTCAGCACACAGGTGAAACCTGACTCCATGCCAATGTCTGATCTCATCCAGTGGTTTCATGTATAACTGTTATTGAATAGGAGAATGTCTGGCTTTGCAGCATCTCCCTCTTAAAAATCCAAGACATAATCTCTCTCCATGATTGGAACCCTTTCTTCAGAAAAGACAACCAGTATAATAGAGTGTTTCCTGCTTCTAGATCTTGGAGATGGCTTAAAAGGACATCATGACCAATGGCACTGAAAGCCACTGAAATATTAAGCAAGACCAGAAAAGTTGTACTTTTCCTATAGGTGCAGTCAATGCTGTCTCTCTGCTGATAATGGGCCTGAAACTGGACTGAACCATAACTTTCATTTCCTCCCAGGCCATCTTAGTTCTAGTCCATCCAATTTCTTCATAGAAAGAAGTAATGGAGACAATAATTGCCCAGTGTAACTGTATCAAATGATGGCACATTGCTGCCACTTTCAAGGAAGGGGTTATTATATAATATGCCCTCTCCTAAGGACACATTTACTACTGCATTAACCCAGATCCCCATGAGCTGACTGCTGATAGCAAGCAGAAGTGGTGTTGCTGAGGTTACTTACAAGTTATAATGTTCAAAACTGAATATATTTAATGGATATACTTTTCTAGAAACACAAATGCACTGAGAAGATGAACAGCAGAACATCACCTGTGGAATGTATCTTTATCACATAGCTACAAAAGGTGTGATAATGCTATTTATTGAAAATTGTAGAATATAAAAAGACAGCTACCACTTACTCATGTTTGAAAGTGCTAATCTTTGTTGCTGTGACTTGCAAAGTAGGGAACACCTTTTAGCCGCATGATCCAATTGCTTGCTGGGAACTCTAATCCTGGACTTATTAGGAAACCAAATCACGGTGGTGTAATGGTAAGTCAAAGAAAAGTATAGGTTTTCGTTAATTTTTGCTCGGGATAAGTGGGATTTAAACAAATAAGGCAACAGGACAACTTTGGCAAATAAGGCAACAGGACAACCTATGTTGATATCATAAGAAAAATACTAGGCGATCTGACCCTAGTGCTCTTCGGTATCATGAGATCCTCTTGATCAAAGCCACTTGTCTCAAATGGTAGGGTTCCTTGCCTGAGCGGGGGGGGGGGGAGGAGGGTTGACTAGAAGACCTCCAAGGTCCCTTCCAGCTCTATTCTGATTGAAAGACGGAAGAGCAAGATCAACGTGAGTAGCTACAAGAAGACGGACGAAGGGGGCTCTTAGCCAACATTTCTGGCCCCCCATCCCGCAGAGTGAATGTAAGCAACTGGATTCCCGACAGGGTTTCTAACATTGAGCCATTCCTTTCTCCTTAGCAATTATAATATTAATCGGGAAAAGAAACGCTTTTCACGAGGAAAATAAGTGAATGTCAATTTTTATTAAAACTCTTTCGGGGATGGGGGGAAGGGAGCACAGGCGCTTCCAAAAGACTGCGGAGACAACGGCATAGAGCTCTCCCTTGCTTCCTTCGGAGGCTAGAATATCCGGGTTGCGGACAAAAGAAGAGCCAGCCCAGCACTTTCACGCCGGCTTCCCTTGGCGCTGCAAAACCGGAAGCGGAAGTACAAACGGAAGGCCTCCTTTGGTGGCTGGGTCCCTTTCGCTGGGTGCTCTACCGGTGTTTGGGGGGGCGTGGGGCGGGGGAGAACGGCCGGTCCCCCTCCCTTGCGAGGAGGATGCTCTTGTCCTCGCGCGGGTGGGGGCGGCACCTCGGCGTGGTCTGGCTGCTCGCGTTCCTTGTGGCAGGTGAGGAGGGGGTTCGGTTGCCATGGCGATGCTGGGTGATGGGGAAGGAGCGAAGAGCCAGGCGGAAAGGGCTGCTTTTAGACGCGCTGGCCGGTTCCGGTGGCCTCTTTGGCTTCCTTGGCCTCTTTGTTTCCTGGGGTTTCCCCCCTCCCCCCGACGTGAGTGGGGAAAGAGGCAAAGGAGCCCCTCCTTCTGCTGCTTTCCGAAGTATGATGCAGATAGGGCGAACCAGATAGCAAAAAAATATTCCGCTCGCAATCTAGTAATGCACCATATCACAAGTCTGCATTTCCGTGGTTTTCAGGTTGCCTCGTTCTTCTCTCTCCTGAAATAAAGGCTATTTGCATTTCTGATGTTAAAGAGAATAAAGCAAGGCAAAAGTGTCTAATCAGAGTCTCACTTTGAGCAAATTAAGGATGTGTGGTTAGGCTGCATGAAATTTTAAATGATGTGAATTTCTCTATATACCTACACCCACGCATGTATGTGTATTTTGTAGCAGAAACAGATGAAACCTCTGACCTGCTGTCAAAAGAGTTAAGTGAAACTTCCCTACCATTAAATCAGGAAAGCAGTTCTGCCCATTCAAGCAGCGATGGACGTAGAGAATCGGTACAGTACAGGACTGCAGAAATTGCTGATGCTATGATGAGTGGTAGCCTTCTTGCCGACCATCATGTCGTACTGTCAGTTATTCCAAGTGACACAAAGGAGTCACATCTCTCTGAAGCAGACACTGGTACTTGTGATGCAGCAGCAGATGGTGAATGCAGTACGAATAACATGGCATCTGTATCTCAACAAGTGTCGCATGCACAAGAGCCAGTAGTACATCCACCAGTAGTGTTGGAAGCAGTGCATCCTTCATCAGCAGAGGACTCAAATAACACAGATGGTACGAAAACCCCAAAAGTGAACTGTGAAGAAAGAAACATTACAGGAATGACAAATTTCACATTACAGATTTTGAATATTTCCCAAGTAAGTGACAAGTATTCTGATGTATTTCTCCTTAAGTTAAAAGTTGGCAATTGTTTAGGTGCAGCTAAAGTAGGGTCTGGATAGGACTACAGCTGTGTTCCTTAACATTGGCAGGTTTAAGATGTATGGACTTCAACTTCCAGTATTCTTCATTGCTGGCTGGGGGATTCTAGAGATGAAGTCCACACATCTTAAAGTGGCCACAGTTGAGAAACACTAGACTAGAATAAAAAATGTGTCTGCTTATGCTATTACAGTACTTACTTGTTTAATTTGCATGCTGTTGAATCTGTTTTATTCAAGTGTAATGGAATGACAGTATTCTATTAAGAGAAGGAGCTAATGAACTGGATTGGGGAATTGACTTCACATAACAAACTGAAATGGTTATTCAATTAATCCCTATTTGGGTTGAATAAAACATTGAGCAATAGCCTAGCCACATAACTTGTTTTTTTTTTTAGCCAAGTCATAAAAAAAAATAACCAATTTTAAAAGTAGTCCACAAGGCGTAATGTTAATGCAGTCCTTGGATTTTTAGCTTAGACAGATAAGCATGTTAATTGAGCTAAGTCTTATCCTACTAATTTTGTATATAAATATATATTTTTCATTTTTTTTACTGTCAGCATTCTACAGAGCACAATGCTGTGCAACTTGAGAGGTGTAACCAAGTAAAGTGATTCTTACACTAAAGATGTTGGAGTCTATTGTTTTTTAAAAAACTTTTTTCATCAAATCTGAAGATTGGTATTTCAATTGATGCCAATTTTAATCTCTTAGGAATGCATTCTTGTTCCTAATATTTTTAAGAAGAAAAATGTCTATGAAGGATAGCACTTATTTCATAGAATGCTTAATTGAGATATCAGAACAAGTTTAGTTATTTCTGAAAAAGTATTAAATTAATGGAAGATAAAGATGTGAATTACAGCTTGTTCAATAGGTGAATGTCATCTGAAATATTGGAAGCAATGTAATTCTGCCTACTGGTTGCTATTCTAAAGGGATTTGGTTGCCTTCTCTGTGAACAGACTACTGGATTTAGATAGCTTTTAATTTGATACAGCACACTTTTTCTTATGTTCCATTATTTGGATTTAAGGAATGTGGACTTCCTGTTCTGTGTTTACTCTTGAAAGCTATTGTCGAAATCAAACTATCACAAGATTTTATGGAGTTGATTGTGTCTATGTTCTTGCAGGAAACTATTCAATAATTGATATTTAAAATATTTAATAAACTGGCTGGCCAGTATGCATGTTTACTTTTGAAATTAGGAAATTAAAGCTCTCAAATTCATTCTACCTGTCATCATGAAAATATCTATGTGGTCGCTAAAAGTTGACAATGACTTCATGGTATGTAATTATCATAATTCATACTGTGGTTACTGTTCAAGTTTGAAACGTGTTTTATAATGGAACGGCTAGTTAGAGCTTTCATGTAGAGACACTTCATTGCTTTTCTGAGTAGAACTTGTTTTTTAAAATTAAATTTTCAATCTCTATTTTAGGATTTAATGGAATTTTTAAATCCAAATGGCAGTGACTGCACCTTGGTCTTATTTTATACCCCTTGGTGTCGTTTTTCAGCCAATTTGGCTCCTCATTTTAATTGTCTGCCACGAGTGTTCCCAACACTACATTTCTTGGCCTTAGATGCCTCCCAACATAGCAGGTAAATTTTATTATTTTCTGAATTATAATTGTTAAGTTTATTTTATACATAACTTGTATTTACAATAGTAATAATGTAATGTAGTGTAATGTAATAAAGTATTAATAACACGTAAGGGCAGAGAATGCTTTCTGACTATCCACTGCTCTCTACTCCAGGACCTTCATTTTGCCTGTGTGTGTGTGTGTTACATAGTTGTTCTGGTTTAATGAAGAGTAACTGAGAGCTAGTTTTTATAAATTTAAATGAGAAATTTGTTTAGCAACATTTATTCTTCTACTTTACTCTTGCAGTTTATCAACTCGATTTGGAACTGTGGCTGTTCCTAACATCCTCCTTTTTCAAGGTGCTAAGCCAATGGCAAGATTTAACCATACAGATCGAACTCTGGAAACACTGAAAGCATTCATTGTTAATCAGACTGGTAAGATGAACTATGAATCTGGAGAATTCATAGCTTGATATAGCCCTGTCTAACTCTAGTAAATACTTATTTTATTAACTCCAGGAACATTGTTTTGCCTCCAGTTAGGAAGGTACTAGAAAGCAGTTTCATCATTGATCAAGACGTGAAATTTTGGATGAATACAAAATAAGGTTGCAGTCCTAGCTAGACAAATAATATTCTACTTCTGACAATTTTGGTTCTGCTGAAGATCTTGACATCCTGTCATTTGTTTCTCAGTAGCCTTATTTGGATAATATAAGCATACCCTGGCATCAAGGGTCAATGTTAATATCATACTATAATATGGATATTAGTTATGTACATATATTTCAGTTCCTCTGTGATAGCAGGAGTTATTGTTTATGATTCTTTGCATTATTTTGGGATTGAATCGTGGTGGCGCAGTGGTTAGAATGCAGTACTGCAGGCTACTTCTGCTGACTGCCGGCTGCCTGCAGTTCGGCAGTTTGATTCTCATCGGCTCAAGGTTGATTCAGCCTTCCATCCTTCCGAGGTTGATAAAATGAGGACCCAGATTGTTGGGGCAATATGCTGACTGTAAACCGCTTAGAGAAGGCTGTAAAGCACTGTGAAGTGGTATATAAGTCTAAGTGCATATTCACTGAAAGTGAATGCAAGAAAGGGGTTTTTGTTTTGCTTTTTTGTAGATACATCTCTTCATGTTAACAAGGAAAGAAACCAGGTTTTCTTATCTTTCTTTTATCTACAATAGAGAGTAAAGCAACTTCTATCTCTACATACTGTAGCAAATAATTGGGAAAGCTAAGATAGAAATAAGCTTACCAAAAGAAGCAGTATATTTTATCAGGAATGTTTTAAATAAATAAATAAAATATTTTTCTTCATTGCCTCTTGAAGGAGAGAAGAAATCAAGGCACCATCTCCTTTACTGATATATTTTTAGACTAAGATGTTTGCCTGTTTATTTGTGTCATCTTCGCCTGGTAAGAGATAAAACAGGCTAATCAACTATTATGAAATTATAAAAAGACAAGCTTATTTGAGGCTGCAAGAGTTCTTAATGAATGAAATGGAAATAGAGCAGCCCACAAAGAATCAAATATGTGATATTAATAGTTTTACTGGAAACATATTTTTACTTCAGTGAATAAAATGTAAAGTATAATAAACATCTTAGCAGATGATAATTAGTATGCTACAATATGATTTACAATGCTTCATTTTGCATCAAAGTAATAATTGGATATTTCATTTCAGGAATACAACCTAAGTCTGATGTGGTGGTGAGCGTGGAAGACCATGTTGGTCCCCTGCCTAGCACACTGAGTAAAGGAATAGATTGGCTCCTCTTATTTTCTTTATTGTTTCTTATCAGTTTCATCATGTATGCTACTATTCGGACAGAGAGCATCCGTTGGTTAATACCTGGTCAAGATCAGGAGCATCAGGAGTAATATGTGATTTGAGGACTATCTGCTTTCAGAATAAGTTGATAAACTTGTGAATTCTTCATGTCTTGTGAACTGGAGTCCTGTTATGTTTATTGCATATTAAAAATGGCACAATATCATTCAGAAGAAATTTCTTAACATACAACAATGAACACTGTAGTGTTAACTAAATGGTGATGGGACAGCTTTACCCTATAGAATCTATACTCTGCAGACTCCACTTTTAATGAAAAATTTTTTTTTAAAAAAAGTGGCCTGATAATCTTGATAGAAGATTGTAGAAATTCTCACAAACCTGAAAAAAATTGACCATAGACTGTAGAATGAAAATAATAGATTTAAATGTTAATTGGATTTAGAAACAATTTATCCTCAGCTTTAATGAGGTACATTTTTTGAAAATTCAATGCCATTTGATAAATATATAAATTACTGACATTTTCACATCTGCGCTTTGATCACAGCATTTGATTAAATGGTTAGAATTAAGAAAACATTTAACAGGTCTTAATCTTCATGTCATTTACACTGGAAACTCATTTATACTGGAAGCCGAGACATAAAACAATGTTACAATAGATTGGAAAGAGGAGATATAATTTCATGTCTGGTAGTGTGATATTTAAATTAAATATGCGTGTAAATATATGTATAATTTCATGGGCACCACCTTTTTAATGGTATTTTTTTTTGTTTTGGTGTTTGTGTTTGTAAGAATTTGAATCAACAGAAATTAAAAATACAATATTTAACGTGGATAGTGATGGCATTGTGGCTACATTAAATAGAAGTGGATCTTTAGAGCTGTTATAATAAAGCCGTTCATGGTAGAATATTTCAACTTTTAAAAGCTTCCTTGGAAAGCTAGCATAAGAGAACAATATAAAATACCACAAATGCGCAGGACACATAGAAAACAGAATCAAAAGTGGATCAAGATCTGGAAGAGCTAATACAGACATACCTTATTGTCCTTTTGCATTGATGACTGAAGTGCTGTTTACTCACAGCTGACTATTTTTGTACACAGACTACAGATCATGAGCTGCTTTTTAAAGTGATTACTGTCTCCTTGAACTCCTTCAGGGAATGTCTATGAAGATTCTCAGACATCCAGGTCATAGTTATCCCAAAGGTGCTTTTAAGCACTTTCTTATTTTTCTTATAAGACTTTCCCTTCTCATCCAAGAAGCTTTTTCAGAGATGAAAAAGTCCAGTTACCTCGTGAAAAAGCACCTTTGGGATCCTTCGGAGAATACTGCGTTTCCTAATTCAGCAGCATTTAGTACAAACAGAGCAGACAGTACTAGATAAATTACACTTTCCTTGCTTCAGGCAATTCTACTCATCCTTTTCTACAAAGATTGATTTCTTTCCTTGCGAGTTCACTAAAAGCGCCACCTGTAGCTGCCGCCGCCTGGGGTGACAAATGGGTGGGGAAGGTGTAGGGTTGCCAGGTCTGCTTCCAAAAAATAGCGGGCAAGGGAGGGGGGGGGTAAGTAGTAAAAAAAAGTAGACTGTACAGCTTTAGATTACGTACCATTTCATCATAAAGCTTTTGAATAAAAAAAAATGTCCACTATTTTGTGAAAAAAAATAGTGAACATAATGTGAAAAAAGTGGACTGTCCACTCAAATAGTGGACACCTGGCAACCCTAGGAAGGTGCCTACTCTGATCCCTCACCCCAATTAGTGTAAGAACTTTTCACTCTCTATTGAGAATACGCAGCCCATTTTGGGCATCCGGGAAAGGCTCAAGCCAAGCTCTTTCCCTCGGGGAGAACCAGGGACCGCCACGCCTTCGGAGCCCAGCCTGAGATGCTCGACTTACGCTTGTTATCAAAGGGTTGCGCAGGTCGAGGAGCGCTGGCGCGGGATCGCGGCGAGAGGCTCCCCCTGGCGGCCGCCAAGACTTTGGTGCAGCCGCGGCGCAGGCGCTCGCTGGAGGAGGCGGAGATGCCCGCCTGAGCCATGCTGAGCCCCCGCGGGTCAGGATTGGGGCGGCTACTGCTGCTGCTGCGAGGGGGCCTGGTGGCTGTGGGAGGCCGGGGCTGCGGTGGCGGCCGGAGCAACTTCTCAGCTATGGTGAGCGGCTGAGCAGCAAAGGAGCAATCCTCCTCGGAACGATTTGACAGATGGGGGAGGAGGGGTCAGCGTAAAATGTGGCCCGGTGACCTTTATTCATATTGGTTTGCTTTCTTTGAAGCTCTTAAGTGCGGTTTTAAGCGTTTACAAGGACAGTTTAGGGAAAGCCGACTTAGAAATCCGGGTTTGGGCCTCTCGGCTCTTTTTTTTGCACGGGAGAGGCTCAAAGGGAATGTTAAATGTGCCTCGCACGTGTAATTCGAAGATCCAAGTTTGCAATTGGCGCTTTCCCTTTTTCGTCCTGACTTAACGATCTTCCTTACAGGAAGCTCTTTGCATTAAACCTGGATCTGGCTGGGACTGCTTCGGATTCGGGGCAGGAGGATCATATAGCTAAATACAGGAAGTAGGTGGCTCAATTGCCCTTAAGAATTATTTTACCAGCTTAATTCTTAGATCGGCTTTCAGGTTCTGCTCCTATGCCTCCTGATGAAACGATTCAGAGTCGTTGGGGAGCGAGTAGAGTACAAATTTAATAAATAATACTAATAATTTAGGTATGTTCACCAGTTAACTATAAATAGGCAGGACAAAAATACCATCTTCACAAAGTCTTTTTGTGCTCTCAGTATTTCTCTGCTTAGTAAATGATTGATCTTGCAACAGCTTTCATAGGGATAATCATTGTTGCAGCAAAAGATATTGGAGCATCTTAAATGAACACATTTATTATGAATGTTTTTGTGGAAAATAGTCCAGAGAAAATTATGATTTTAAAATAACTTAAATGCCAGATTGTTTTTTTTTCCTTATGGATTTTGTACATTGGTTAATGAAGGCTTGTATTAAACAGCAGACTAGTACTACAGGCACTATTACTACCTGTATCTGTGGCTTCTCATCTGTAATAGGCAATTTTCCTGTAACCAAGTGACTACCAATTGCTTTGCTTATTATGGCAAGTTAGGCATAATAACAGCTGGTTAGGCAAGTATAAATCTGTTCTACTTTGGAAAACTAATGAGATTTTTTTTTTACATAGTGATCTAGTGCTTGTTTATACAAAATGAAATCTCACTCAGAACTAATTCCCAAGTAAGCATCTGTGGCAACGCACACAATTTGCAACCTAGTAAGTGCTAAAAAACCCGAACGTATTTCAGAATAAAATTATTTAAAAGTAACCTTCATATGTTATATTCATTCTTATGAATCACGTCTTTAAGAGTTTGCCTGTTAATGGATGGAGCCTTCTCACATATGGCCATATAATTTGCTTATTCATCTAAAATATTATTTGGGTAATATAATGTAATCAAGATAGATTTGTTTTGTTCATTCAGTATATTGTTCCTTGTCTGTTACACACAAACACACACACACACTTTATGCACACACACACTTTATGCAATTGCTTCATCAGACATCCTGAAAGGAAGATTGTGCATCAAATAATATGATAAACTGGAATGCTCATAGCTCCAGTTTTTGGAACAGCTGAATAGAAATGGCAAAGTTGCGATATGACACTGTTTGCGTATTAATGGCCCAATAGTTACTTTAAGTAACCTTGAATTCAGGAACAGATTGCAAGCCTGTGTGTATTCATCTAGCAAACAAGCAGTGTATTAGTTTTGAAATTCAAGAATGAAGTTCAGGCAAGCATAATAGCTAACGTATAAAACCAAGAATCTCTAATACATTTTCTTAGATATATTCTCTGTGTGTGGGTCTAAGGCTTGCAATTGGTGGTTCTTAACTAAAGACTCATGGGTTATTTGATCTGTTAATCTGAGTTACATACTGATATTTCAAACTCAAAAACTTGATTTTGCTGTATATCATATACCAGATTATTCTTAAAAAGGAAATACTGCTTTCTTATTTCACATTCTGAAAAATATATTTTAATAATTTCTAAAAATATATAGGAGAAAACTTTCAAATAAGCATAGACCCAAAATAGTTTGACATGGTTTTCCAGAAAGAACTGCTAAAGAGGAAATGGGAATTGTACAACATTAAAAAGGAATGGTGAGTGGACATTGAAATGTCAACAGTTAACAAAAAGCCATACATGACCCTTGATCTGTGATTGCATCCTACCACATAACTGGTTAAAGGTGGTAAATAAAAGTAGACATTTGAAGTCATGTAAGAAAAATAAAATATCTCCCTGGGCCAATTGATTCTATCTCCATTATCAGTTACTCATGTAGAATTAGTAGTTAATATTAAATGGCATGCAGACAATACAGTATGTCTGGAAAAATTAAAAAGAGATAATGGCCATATCTTCCTTTCCAAATTCTCTCTATATTCTTAACAATTATCATTATTTTGTCTGAAAGTGATAATGTGTAATATTTATTTGCAGGAAAAATACATGGACCACAGATAGTCCTCTACTTATGATTGATTGCTTAGCAAACATTTGGAGTTATGGCAGACACCCCCCAAAAAAGCTGATTAGAATCCGATCCTTAAGTTATGGTTGCTGCAGAATCCCCTTATGACCGACTGCTTATCTCCCTCCACCCACTGGGTCCCTGCAGGCCTTGAGTCTGCTTCCACCCACCTACCTACTTGGGCTCCACTTCATCGTTCTCACTTTTTTAAGAACTCTGGAGTTAGAGTTAGGGAAAGGGGACAAGCCACAGAACACCTTGTTTTGCTTCCCTAATGAAGCTTCACAGCATTCCATAGTGTTGCAAAATGCTGCAGAGCTCATGTTAGGGAATATTCCAGAATCAGATGCCATTTTCCTAGTGGCCCCATTTCAGTGTGGCTGCCTCCAGGATTGCGCCACCCAGCTCAGCAAGGAGCGGTCTGTCCACTTTTCTTAACCCAACCTCGAGCTCCAGAGGTCTTAGAGAGAAGATGGATGTGGGGCCTATTGGATGGGAGGCTGGCGCAAGCCCTGCAGGCATCCAAAGGGGCAGGAAATGGAGCATGGGGTGCCTCAAGGTGGTGGAGGCTTTGAGAAACCCTGGGGTAGGGCCTGGACTAGGCTACCCAGCTCCCTGAGGCACCCCATGCTCTGCTTAACAACCTGCATGTTTGTTTAACAACTAAGAACAGGGATGGGGGTGTTATAAATGAGGTGATCATGTGGATACTTTACTTAACACTTGTCATGATGTCTGGCTGTAATGGGCAGGCTCTATTACAGTTGTGAGTCGAGGACTAGCTATATGTTAAAATCAATCAAAAAGACCCCTATGTCCAATAGAAATACTTTGCTCCTTCATAGGCATTATTTTCTTAAATACTAGTATTTCAGCAGTATCCATTGTTAATAGTATTTGTGTTATATACTAATTATTAATAAAATAGAAATGATTCATTAGTCATTTTTAGACTTTAAGCTTGTTGATTATTACTGTATTGTTCATATTTTAATATGCAATTAATTTTTTTAATAGTAAAGTATTACTACTGTTTTTATCATGTATTTTATTCTATATTTTAATTTTTTTAATAGTAAAGTATTACTACTGTTTTTATCATGTATTTTATTCTATAATATTTTAATTATGTAAAGATAATTGAATGTTTTAACTTTGCAAATATAATATGAAGAAGCTTTTCTATTGGATCTTGGTAACTCAAAAAAATATATCTTTTTAAATTTGATTCATGCTGAATTCCCATCCACCAATAAATAATTGCAAATATAAATATGGGTTATCGACATTATATAATTAGTAAAAGTATTATTATTATTAATTACTATAAATATCTTTTCAGTAAGGCTAAATAAAGAATTTACTTGATATATAATTATGTTAACTGCTGCTTTCTTTATTGTTATATTATTTACATGATTATTCCTAATTTTTGTCTATATAATTATGTCATATTTATATTTAAGATCTCTATTATTTCTTGTTTAGAATGTTTAAATTCTACCTCACCTTGAATAAGTACTTACATTTGAAATATAGTGTCACCTAGTGGACAAAATCATCATTGTGTATAATAAATGTAATTATTCAAATTCATAGGATTGATGTTTCAAAAATTGTCCACTTTACATATATATCTGAAATTTCAATTGAATTTCAGGGATTTATGATATTTAATCTGATTTATTTGAAATGTTTGTTTGAATGCCAGATTGTCCTGAAGAAGTGCTGTTAATTTTTTCTTTTGAGGAAATTGGTTGATAGGAAGTTTATTTACTGTTTAGTGTTTATAAACTGTAGAAATAGAAAGTAGTGAATTATGTAAAATGAAATGTTAAAAACAAATCACTATACATATTAAATCAAACTTTGAAGCAAGACTACTCCAGACATCCTTCTTAAATCATTTTTAAATTCATGGTTGAATTTAAATCTAGTTTATCATTTTATTTTTAACTACATTAAATAACCTAATCCATTTTTCAAAATGTTTAGATTGATTTCAAAAGCCAGTTCAGAATAAAAGATTTTTTTGTAATATAGCAGTGTTTCTCAACCTTGACAATTTTAAGGCATGTGGACTTCAACTCCCAGAATTCCACAGCCAGCAATGCTGGCTGTGGAATTCTGGGAGTTGAAGTCCACATGCCTTAAAATTGTCAAGGTTGAGAAACACTGTAATATAGGAACTTAGATTTGTTTTTTTTCTTGGTTTCTAAGATAGTTTTATTTACTTCCACTCAGAAGTAAACTCCAGCAGGCCCACTCTCTCTTTCTCTGTGAATTGCAGACTATGAGTTCTGCCACTCCATAATTCCATCCCATGTGCAAAACATCCCTGAAGATATTCATGTCTGTTTATAATCATTTTTTTTATTCTGGCGAGGATACTTAATATTCTTTTTGCCAATAAATTATTCTTTGCAAATGGTTTTTGCCAAGGATGTACAAAGAATGCTTTCAGGTTTCCAGCTACCCAGTAGCTGAGAAAAAAATGGCAGCTCAACTGCCTATATTTTTCTTTCAAATTTTACATGTTGGCAACATTCATGGTTTTCACATTTAGACAACAACATCTGCTGTTTTAGCCAATGCTTTTTTTCTAAAAAAAAAAAAAAAAAGGTGCCGGAACTCTCACACCTCATACAACCCGCCTTGCCTACCCTACAAGGTTCCATCCAAAAAAGGTGCCGGAACTCCGTTCTAGGCGTTTTATGAGAAAAAAAGGCCTGGTTTTAGCACCAGGCTTCTGGAGAACAGAAAATCTACGATTATATAGAAATGTGCAGGGGCATTATATTGGAATGCCACCTAAAATGCACAAACTTTGTTCATCATTCTAACTTCAATAAATGTGTCTTGTGGATCATCCCGATATAAGGATTTGGATAAGTCTATATGGGATTGTGATCATCACTGTTCTTGTTAATGAAGAATATACACACCCTGACTGATACAGTAAATATTATGTATTAAAAGATTTGAAGAGAGTGTTAAGAGAGTGCTTGGACCAGTTTTGTGGAATTCTTAAGACTGTTGAAAAAAATCTTGGCAGTTTATATTGTTCATTGCATCTGGTTAAAAAAAAAAGTTTAAATTTGTAGGTATCTCCAAACTTGCTTAGGAGAAAAATGAGAAATAAAGCAGGATGATGGGAAGTCTGTCCAATTAGAAAACAGATGCCTATAGATAGCTTTGTGGGTTCACCTACGATGGTTGCTAGAGAAGGGACAGAATTAAAAACACGCCAAGAAAACATAGTATTTTAGATTTTACTCTGTATTACTATGCATTTGGAGAGTTACAGTCAGCAGGTGGTGTCAAGCTGCAGAGATTGGATATTCCAGAATGTGATAAACTGCCAAGAGAGAAATATTTGTAAATCTGCCTCTAATATGCAGATGATGCAAAAACCATCCATATAGATGAAATAGTCAGCCAGATTTTAAAGGTCTCTGCTTACCTAAAATATAATATGAAGGCATGTATTTGTCAGAGCAGAATATGCTGTATTATGTGTAAGATTGTTTTCTCATTTTAAAAATAACTTTCATTTTTTTCCCACTAGAGCCATAGCAAAATAACCTGAACCAAGAAATCACCTCACCAGACAATGTTATCTTTTTAACTTTTTACAAACCTATTCTTCCTTTTTAATAATTCAATTTCTTTGTTCTTTTTCCAGAATTATCTCTCTCAAGCTTTAGTAATCCAGAGTCCTTAAGGAGCTTTGGGAGATCTCCTTTTTTAGGGTTTCCCTCAAAAAAATTAGTTTTTCAAATTTCAGAGGTCTCTCTGAATATGCCTTTCAGTTTTACATGGATGTTGCTGTTTGTTTATATAAGGGCAGGCATTTTCCCTGCATTTGAGTTTATATTGTTAATTGCTTATATTTCAGTATTACAATGACATGAGAATAAAGGGACATAAAACAGCCTAGCTACCACTAAATTTCATCCAGCGTTTCTCAGTTAAATCAATGTCTAAGCATATTTTGCCAAGTAATAGTACAGTAATAATTTTGCTTTTAGACATTCATTGAGCATCCTGAAATAGCTGAGAATTCTGTCAATTTAGCTTTTTTTTTTTTTTTAAAAAAAGCTTAATTAAGGAAAAGAGTTTAACAAACATAGTATAAGTAGTATTTAGGACTTCTGCAAAAGTAATTCTTTAGTCCCTTTTTGTTTTTCTTTGCTGGTCCAGAAAATGTACGGTACCTTTTAAAATAAGATTTTCAAAATAAAATTATTGGACATAATTAGATTAGCATTTCTCTAAATTTAACATTGTTTATATTCTCCCCAGAGTTGTTTTGGATAGTGAGATGGGCAGCATATAAATTTAATAAATAAATTAGGAGAAGGAGCTATGGCAGTGGTTCTCAACCTGTGGGTCGGGACCCCATTTGGGGTCGATCGACCATTTCATGGGGGTCGCCAAGCAAGGCTGTTCGCCATTTTTTTTGTTCGCCATTTTTTTTGTCCGCCATTTTTCCCCCCTTTTCCGGCGGGTGCCTTACCTCCCTTGGGCTGGGCCAGCTGGTGGTCGGCCTGCTCCATCTCTGCCGCTTGCCAGCTACTCCTCGGCCGGCGCAGGGGGCGGAACCACGCATGCGTGGCGCTCCCGGGCAGGGAAAGTCCTCGACTTACGACCGGTTGGGTAGTCCTCAACTTACGACCGGTTTAGTCCTCGACTTACAACCGGTTTAGTCCTCGACTTATGACCGGTTTAGTTCTCGACTTACGACCGGTTGGGGTCGCGGCATTAAAAAGGTTGAGAACCACTGAGCTATGGTTTTTAACTATGGTTAAAAGATCGGAGAGATTAAACCTTATAAAAGAATAGTATGTTTAGCATTGTACTGAGATGAAGTAGCTTTTATCAATGAAAATGTGGGTGATAATATTATATCCTTAATGTGTCCCAAGAATTCTATTGTTGGTCCACCAAATGAATTAAAAGATCTTGAAATTAATTTCCAGTGTTAAGCATATATAAAAATAAAACTATATTTGAATGATTAAAAGTCACTATTAGTAAAATTTAAGACATTTTTATTTCTTATTCGGTGTTCATATTTCAGTGGGAGACAAGAGCATGCTTCCCTTCTGTTGGAAGTAATGTAAAAGTATTTTCAGTTCTAATGGATTATGTTTGCTAATTATACAACAGCATCTGTTCCCATTTCCTCTGTTCTAGGACAATGCAAACTTACCACGTGCCCTGTTTACTCAAATGCAAACATCAATTATGTTTGTTTTCTACCTAAGATGCTGCCTAAGAGTTTAGATGCTACTTAACTTCATATTCTAAATATAATGAATCCATATATGACTTTAAGGGAGGGAGCAGAATCAACTTGTACAATTCTATTTGTGAAGACACAACCAGTAATGTTTGCAAATATTTAATGCAATGTGATCTTTTTAGTCTAATAATCATCTGTATGGTTAACTTGTATTTATGATGCATTTCCCCCTCTTTCTTTGCCATCATAGTCTTCACAATCTAGCTGGTTGAGCACAGAAGAAAGGAACCAAGCTTTGTATGATCTTAAAGCTGCTGGCTGGTCTGAACTCACTGAAAGAGATGCTATATTCAGAGAATTCATATTCAAAACTTTTAATCAGGTAAATACCGTTAATTAATAATATTCTTGATTTAAAGGAAATACATTTGTCTTGATTCTCCCTTGTACTTGAAAAAAACCTTATACTATCAGACTCTGTTATTTAGAGTTTTACAACTTTATGATGATTTTTCTTTAAAAATATGAAAAGTGATACATTTTTTTAAAGGATGGTAAAACTTTGTACTGAATAAGACCCAACCTATTTATATTTGACTGAAACTTTAAAGTCTAATTGCTATAATTGTTCTTCAGAAATTAAACTGTATTTTTTCAAATGTTGAAAATGTCAAAAGTTTACAATCTTGTGGGGCTCCATTACTAGCTGTCTGGGTCCACATGTGGCTTGTGGGCTGAGGGTTGGACATTTCTGATTTAGTTTAAAATGCTAATTAGGAGTCTTTAAATTGACAAGTTAGTGGATTGCAGTACTTCTAATCTTCATTTAAAGACTGAATAATATTAATTAATGGTATTTAAAACCGGAACTGGAGAGACTTATATTCACACCTAAATTCAAGAATGTATAGATATTTTTTATTTGGGAAGCTAGAATATTTTATGTTTTAATTTTATGTATCTGCACAAAATGATCATATTCACTTACTCTAATGTTCTCTTTGATAATTTGTCTAAATGTTCATTTAGTTCAGACATGAGTCTTGTCTGTTAATTCATGCTTGTTCTACTTCAGGGGTCCCCAATCCCCGGTCTGTGGACCAGTACTGGGCTGCAGCATGCCAGCAACCGATCCGCACAAACAAGGAAAGCCCCATCCACAGGATGCAGGCAGCACACAAAATCACACCCCCTCCGGTCCACGGAAAAAACTCTCTCCACGTAACCGGTCCCTGGTGCCCAAAAGGTTGGGGACCTGTGTTCTACTTGACCATATCATTGTACCTTTAGAAAAAACAGCATTGAGTAGGCACTGTTTTAGGTATATAGAATTTTCTGGTAAATTCTAAGAATATTAATTTTCATTTTTAGCTGTGATCCTTAAAACAGCCTATCTGCTAAGTCAGATTTGTACTCTCCATTACTGTATATTACATATGAATGGAATTTGAAATTGAGAGCACCTGGTTTCTCCTATCATGTCAAGCATGAATGATATTAACAGTGGCTTGCTAAAGAAACCATAGTGATTTGGTTTATACACAAATTACCCTGTATCTTTTTTTATAGACTACATTGCATTAGCTTGACGTGGGTATATTCAGAAATAATTTGCCTAAAGCTATCTAGTGAGCTTATGATAAAGGCTACATAAGCATCTGTTTCTAACCAGGATGATGTCAATATGATAAAACGTGTTGTGAGCTCCCCCTTTTGTACTTGAATTGCAGCATCACTTGCATGTGCAGAAGGGATGGAGTGTGCACTGCAACATCTTAACACATCCTGTCACCTTCTCAACTTTCCCCCTACTATGGGTGCCTGTGGAAAGCAAGGTTTAGGGATTTCCTGATTCATTTACTTGGCATGTTAGCACAATGCAAAGAGGTCTGTGTTTATTGACATTACAGATGAAAATATATCAATTGAAAAACTAGTTCTATTTTTGTGGAATTCATTGTTCTCAAGTAATTAATTTAAATAGCACCGGTAAATTCATGAAGAATTAGGCTGTCAGTGGCTACTAGTTCTGATATTTGTTTGCTACTTCTGGAATCAGTGGAGCATGTGTTAAATGCCACCTGCCAGGAAAGTAGTAAAAAAAAAAGGGATATCGTTTTTTCATCATTTTTTGGTGAACTTTTGGAAAATATCTGATTGATCCTTTAGTACAAAGATTGTTGGACCAGAAGAGTTTGGCCTAATCCCTATTAGGAAAGGTGACTGGTAGAAAGTTGAAAATATAGTTTTGTTTTGTTTCTTAGATGGAAAAATGGAAGCAAATTGTTCTTATGGTTAGCATTTTAAAAAGCCTTTTTCTTCAGAAAGGAAAAAGGACAGGAAAATAAAATATATCATGTTCCTTAGTTCATGTAATGTAGCTCTGCATTGGCAATTATGTAATATGAATATAAGTTGAGGGCACTGTCTGTTAGAGATCTTTTCAATCTGTATTTTATAAAACATTATGCTTGTCAACATTACAATAAAATTTGGCAGTGCAGCATTCAGTAATCCTACTCTGAGATGAGAAATTAAATAGGGAGTTGAAATGTGAGTGTATTATATACAGGTAGTCCTTGACCTAAGACTACAATTGAGTCCCAAATTTCCATTTCTAAGCAAGACAGTTGTTAAGTGAATTTTGCCTCATTTTATGACCTTTCTTGCCACAGTTGTTAAGTGAATTGCTGCAGTTGTAAACTTAGTAACACAGTTGTTAAGTGAATCTAGCTTTCCGATTGACTTTGTTTGTCAGAAGGTTGCATAAGATGATCACATGACCTTGGGACACTGCTAACGTCATAAATAAATGCCAATTGCCAGGCCTCCAAATTTTGATCATATGACCACAGGAATGCTGCAAAAGTCGTAAGTTAAAAACGGTCATAAATCCCTATTTTTGTTCCATTGTAACTTTAAATAATCACGAAACCACTGGTTTTAAGTCAAGAACTTAAATATTAATATAATTCTCTGATCCTGAGAGGTATCCATGGGCACCATTGTGGCATCATATGGGGAATCTCACATAGAAATAAAAAGTTTTCTAAATCTTTTTCTAGACTA